TCTTTTTGTTAAAAATATTTTCTGTATGTATATGGATTATCTTTTATTCTTTGAATGCAATTTTTTGTAAGTCAGAAATTTTTAAATTTTTATGTGCATTAATGTTTGTGTTTATATGTGAGCACTGAATGTGTGCCTGATGACCTTGAAAATCAGGAAAGAGCATTGGGTTCCCCTGGAACTGAGTTGCAGGTGATTGTGAGTACTGAGAACAGAACCTGGGGTTCTCTGAGAGAGCAATAAGAGCTCTTAACTCCAGTCCCAGAAAAAAATCAATTTCAGTAAAGTCTAGTTTGTCACAATTGTCTCCATCGATCATGTCTTTAGTGTGATGTCTAAAACCAATAGGGTCTGTGTTTTTGCCTGTATTATCTTCTTGGACTTCCACAATGTTGTGATCCATGGTCCATTTTAACTTATTTGTAAAGGGTAAATCTAGATGTAGAATTATTTTTTAAATTGCATGTTCTCTTATTGCAGTACAATTTGTTGAAAAGATCATCTTTACCCACTGGTTATCTTCACTATTGTCAAAGATCAGATGTTGTTATTTATAGAATTGTATTTCTGGGCTCATTAGTCAGTGGCACTTAACTGTCTGTTCTGATACCTATGGAACACTGTCTTGCTAATTATACTTTTCTAGTAAATCTGAAGTTCTCCATCCGTGCTCCTCATTTTTTTCTTGAAAAAAATCTTACTATCAAAAATAAGTGAATTAGTGGTTTGTGACTAAAGAATTCTTTTTGTCTGTTTTGAGACAATGGCTCTCTGTGTAGTCTAGACTAGTCTTGAGCCAACATTCTTGCTGCCTTGGCCTCCATTTCTGGGAATTTAGGTGTGCACCAACCACCATGTCTGACTTGAAACTAAGAGTTGATTAGTTCCAGTTAGTAGTCTCTGTCAGTTCTTCTGCTCTTTGAAAAAGGAAGAAAGAGGTATGGGAAGGTTAATAAATGTTTGAGTCAAAATACTAACTTTAAAATTTGCATTGTCTAAGTATGTATGTGGTTGCCAGCATTTTACCATTGCATGCAATTCAGAGGGTTAGCTGAAACCATGTTCTTTCATGATATATGTTTCAAAACATATGAAAAAGCATGTTATATGACAGTTTGACTTCAATAAGGGATATCCAAATTGTTGACTCAGTAATCTTCTGGGTGAGCCTATGAAGATATTTTCAGATGAGAATGCTATTTAAGTGGACTCAAAACAGGAGATAGCTTCCCAGTTTAGGTTGGTGTCAGTATCATAAGACAATAGAATATTATTATTATTCAGCATTAAGGAGAAATTAGTCACTAACCCATGACAAGCAGTTGAGGAAACTTACATACACATTATTAATGAGTGAAAGAAGCAAATTTGAAAACACTACATACTGAATTATCCCAACTAATGCTAACCTCAAAAAGTAAAAATCATGGAGACAGTCAGAAGTTCTTTGGTGATCAGGACTTCTGGGAAAGGGGATGTTATGATAAACTGTGAGGGGAACCTTAGTGGATTCCATGGCAGGTGACGGTGATGAAGGAAGGTGGGGGACAAACATGCCAGGCAGACAGAGTTTAATGAGAAGTTTTATTAGAAAGGGGTGGCAGGGAAGGAAAGAGACACAGAGACAGAGAGGACAGAAGAGAAGAGACAGGAAAAATCCTGTCTGCCCCAGGGGAACAGCAGGAAAGAGAGAGGGAAAGAGAAGGAAAGAGAGAGGGGAAGAGAGGGCTGAAAGAGAGCATAAGTGGGTGGGAGTCTTTCTTTTAAAGGGTCCTTTGCACCTGGACCGACCAGGGCACTGCCTGAGTGAATTCTACCAGGTGACAGGGGCAGGCCAGCATAATGCCTGAATCCTTTCAGGAGGGAAGAGTAGACAGACCACAGAGCATTTTTAGGGCAGTGAAACTGCTCTATGGACAACAATAATGTGGAACATGTATCATATATATTTGTCTGTATCAGGAAATATGGATTCTTTGGTAAACTATGGAGTATCTGTAATACTATATGTCAGTGTAGGTTCATTGGTTACAACTAATGTCCCATTCTGGTGGGGCATTTTAATAATGAGGAAGACTATGCATGTGTAATACTAGGAAAATGAATGTATCTTCTATTCATATTTTCTGTGAAGCTAAAATTATTCCAAAATGAATGCCTTTTTATTTGAAATTGTTTTCTTTAATACAAAACATTTTATAACCTATGTTGGTATTTTATGCTTGAAAAGAAAACATTTCTTAACTCACCTCCAAACAGTTAAACGCATGATGTCTTCATCTCGAGGCTCTGTCTATTCTGATGCTCCCTGTATCTTTATCTGCATGGAACTTGGAAGTATTGGCCATCTTCTCCCAGGGCTGTGGTTTGTCTCTATTTCCTACAGCCAGTGTCCACTCTCTGCTATGGCTTTCACCTCCCCATATCCTGTCTTTCTTTGTTTCACTTCTCTAATATCTAGTGTTGCCTACTACATACATGGGCAGAGTGGAGGTGCTGTTAGTAAATGTGTCACCAGCTTCCTAATGGGTGTTCCCTGTGACCTCACATCTCTGAGAGCGTTTCCTCTTGGAGATCTTCCAGCATCTCACACCCATCACCTCTGTGTTCAGAATACAACTGACTACAAGCATCCTATTAATAAGGCCATCATCACAGAGTTGTCATAGATAAACAAAAACCATGAATATACAAACATACAAAAAGAAGGGTGGCATATATGTAGGCCTATCCAGTGTACTAAAACACATTAACATTTTGTGTTAAAATTCAACATTAATTCTCTGAGACTGAGAGTGTAACACAGCTAGCAGAGTGCTTGCTGGAATTCACAGTCATACATGGGTTTAATACCCAGTACTGCATAAACTGCCCACAGTGGCTCACACCTGTAAGACCAACACTCAGAAGGGGGAAGCAGGAAGATCTAAGTTCAGAGAGTTACCCTCCACTACTCAGTTCAGGGCTAGCCTGAGCTACATGACACTCTGGCTCAAGGAACCAAAAGAAATATATGAACAAGTAATGTCTACTCTTTTTAAGGTGGGAAAGCTAATTATAAAAAGCAGCTGAAATGAAAAGCAGAGATGGCCCAAGTAACGGCTAGAATATTATTCGGTGCCTCCCTTCCCTAATATACACCTTCCTTAACCCCAGATGGGAACAAGGTCTTGTTGGCAGTCTGCAATGGGACCAAGAGCCAGAATCTGTCTATATACATACTACTTCTTGTGAAGTAAAAAATTACTTGTACATCCTTCATAAATAACACCGAAGCTGTACATATCATTTTGGGAAACTCGGGGAAATCAAAAAAAAAAAAACTTGTATCAAAATACACGTGTTATTGCTCAATGTGGTTACCTCGATTCACCTAAATTTCTGTGTTCTTTGCTAAATAAATCATGAACTTAATCTTTTTCTCTTTTCCCTTCGTTCCCTCTTCCCCTTTCTTTCTCCACACAGAGGGAAAGGGCCCCTTCTCACTCATCTGTAGCCTTCTGAAATGATGTTTATACAGTGAGGATGTCTGTTAATGGAAATACCCCTGCCTATTTAATTTCACACTGGTCTCCGCGGTGCGTCTTGACGTTTCACATTTGAACTTCTGTAATTATAGCCTCCTGTTTACATTGCACTTGCTTATCTCCTGCTTTTCTGACTTCCCGTTTGCCTGGAGAAGAGGGACCCCAGCGGGACCCCAGCAGACACCTCAGCACCCCACATTCGCTTACCACCGTGTTACAGTTTTATGTCTGTATTCTTATGTCTATTCCACCATTACACTGAGCCGCGCTGAGCCAGAAGTATTGTCATCTTTAGAGTCTAGGGTGTTTGTGGGTTTGTTGTTGTTGTTGTTGTTGGTTTTACGAGACAGGGTTTCTCTGTATTGTTTTGGAGCTGTAGGTCCAGCCCGGCCTCGAACTCAGAGATATCCGCCTGCCTCTGCCTCCCGAGTGCTGGGATTAAAGGCATGCGCCACCACCGCCCGCCGAGTCTAGGGTGTTTGTTAAAGGATATACATCATATGTGTTTGCTGAGAAATGAAATTTGAAATCACAATAAAAGTAGTCCTAGAAACCAGACATTGGAAATCTCTTTGGGATAATACTCAGCATTTTCAACTTCCTTCACTTTGGTTCCCTGCATTGCTCCCCTACCACAGTTTATTAAATTGTTCATATTTCTTAGAGTTTCTTGAGGGTTTTGGTTTGTTGTTGTTGTTGTTGTGTTTGTTTTTGTTTTGTTTTAATTCAACCCAGCGATAGAGTCCTTGGCTGCCATGCTGAAAACCCTGACACTAATTCTCTCACTCCCTCTTAGCCCCTTAGTCCGGTCAAATATCCAGCGTTCCGTCCCTTTCTAAATCAGGTACTTGACACAGAAGAATGAATTCAAAACGCCTGTAACTGTAAAAGGCCTGGCCCTCTATGGTGGGTGTGGGCTTTTGGTGAGGAACGAATTAGTCTCTGGTGCCTGGCGTTACACTGATTGCGAGGCCAGCATAAGCAGAGGCAGCAAGCCCCGCCGGAGTTAAAGTTCTTCTGTCTTTCTGCGTACAACGGGCGCAGAGCGTGCGCGTGGCACTTTAAAGCGACCCTGGCTTGTGTCTGACAGCGGGGACGCGGGGGCACAACTCCGGCTGCCAAGCCCCCTGGCTTTCTCAGCCCTTCGGTCCACCAGGCACCGTTCCTGGGGCGGCGATGGCACCGAGGGGAGCATCGATTACCCGGACAGTCCCCCGAGGGACCACGCTGCGCCCCGCCCGCCAGCAGACAGAGCTAAGGGTCCGCAGGCGGAGGCGCAGGGTTGGATGCACACCGCAGCCCCGAGCTCGAGCCGTGCGGACCTAGGAAGCGCGTCACGACGTACGAGCTTAATAAACGCCAGCGCTCCCACAAGTCACACCTCAAGCCCCACCCCGCCTTCAGCGCCAGACACGCTTCGCGCTTCCTGCGGCTTTCCGTAGTCCCGCTGGGTCTCTCGCGAGACCGAGGCAGCCCGCCGCCGAGAGCGCTTCCGGGAGGTTACCGTGGCTGGCGGGTCCGAGTGCCTCGGCCTGCGGAATCGCGGGCTCGGGAGCCGGGTCCTGGCGGGCTCGCCATGGACCGCGATTTGCTGCGGCAGTCGCTGGGCTGTCACGGTCCGGCGCTGCTGTCGCTGCTGCGGAGCGAGCAGCAAGACAACCCGCACTTCCGGAGCCTGCTGGGCACGGCGGCTGAGCCAGCCCGCGGCGCGGCGCCTCCGCAGGGAGCTGCCAGGTACGGGGACGTCACCTGGGCCGGGCCGTGGCGCTGGGCCGGCTGGAGAGCACCGGCTCCTGGCAGAGAGACCGGGGTGCTCCTTCTGAACTGCTGGCGTAGCTTTCAAAGCTTCCCCGCCCCCATTTCCAAGTGGCGAAACTTCTTCCAGAGCTCAGTGGATAAAGTCACTTGCCATCAAGCTTCCTGACCTGAGTTCGAGTCCCAGGACTCACGTGGTAGGAGCGGGTTCCCCAGAGTTGTCCTACACTAAATGAATACCCATTGAAAAGCGAACATAATAAAAATAAATAAAACTCTCTCCAGAGACACAGCCCGGATGGAACCTGGGGAGGGTTGGGTGATGAAAAAGCACCGTCACGAGGTCGGATGTCCGAGAACTTTGCTCCTAGAATGCTGGTAATCGCTCGCCTTTCCTTTCCAGGAAAGAGAAGAGAGTTGACAACGTTGAAATACAAAAATTCATCTCCAAGAAAGCAGATTTGCTTTTTGCACTGTCTTGGAAATCAGATGCACCTACACCCTCTGAAGTGCACGACGACAATGACAGTAAGTCTGGGAAGCTTTCAAGACTGGTGGCTTGGCGTTTAGCAGTACATCAAAGGGGAGGGAGGTCGAGATTGTTGTGATGATTTTAATTCCTTTTTCAGATCATTATGCGGTCATGCCACCTTTAGAACAGTTCATGGAGATCCCAAGCATGGACCGAAGAGAGCTGTTTTTCCGAGATATTGAACGTGGTGACATAGTGATTGGAAGAATCAGCTCTATCCGGGAGTTCGGTTTTTTCATGGTGCTGATCTGTTTAGGAAGTGGCATCATGAGAGACATATCTCATTTAGAAATCACAGTAAGTTACTCAGTAGTCATCCCCTGCAACAGTTATGTGCTTATTCAGTTCCGCTTACATTGACCTGTCGGGGTACCTTTGCGGATTAGCTATAAACTGAAGGAAACATAGTGGCTCTTCTTACAAAAGCATTGGAGAGTTGGGCATTGGTAGTGCAGGCTTTTAACCCTGGTACTCAGAGGCAGAAGTGGGCAGGTCTCTGTGAGTTCAAGGCCAGCCTGTCTAAAAAAAAAAAACAAGTACTAGAGTGTTAAATTTCCTCCATTTTTGTTTTTTTAGGGTTTGGGGGACTGTGGTTGCAGGTCAGTTCCTTTTTAAAGCCATAGATCTATTAGTTGGTAAGATGATATCCATTGGTATTCTGAACATATGTCTTCTGGTTAAACAGATGCTTAATAATTGGGCATTAGATGTTTGCATATGAGTAAAACCTTCCTATCACATATTCACCATAAACATACAACATTCTTCCACTTAATGAACTAGTTGACCTCGATTTGGAATATTTCCCTTTAAAACAACTGATACTGTTTTGTCTCACCATCTGAAAAGGAAGAACTACAAATCTTAAGAATTCACATTTCATTTAGCAAATACGAATGTCTGTTTTGTTATAAATTGTAACTACAAGGAACTGACGTGTCTGTTAACAGATGCAGAAAGCCATCAAAAAGTGAAGCTGTGCCCATATGGGATTGAAAGACCCTGTCCTTAGTGAAATAAGCCAAACACAGAAAGACAAATTCCACATTTTCATGCTATGTATAAAAGCCAAAAAGTTGATACCAAACGAGAGTAGAATAGTGGTGAGCAGAGTCAGAAGGGCTGAGAGGGTAGGAAGAAGCTAGATTACTAATGGCCAAAGTACAGAGCAAGTAGAGGGAACGTGTTCTGTACACACTAGTGTGACTGGAGTCCATAGCTAGAAAGTTTGAAGACTCTGAACAAAATTGTTATTTCTGTTGCTAGGATAATTTACATTGTATATGTATATTGAATGGTCACCCTATAAATATTGTATCATTATGCATTCATTAAAAAGAAAATGGTGTTAGACTTTAGTGTTATTACACATTCATAATGAATAGCTAAGATTAAAAAAAAAAAGAGCTACTGTTCTTGTCAAAGAGTGAAATATTTGGTGGTTTCAAATACTTCTCATTGCAGGCTCTCTGTCCCTTAAGAGATGTGCCTTCTCACAGTAACCATGGAGATCCTTTATCATATTACCAAACTGGTGACATAATTCGAGGTGATCAGTTTCAACATACTAATTAAAAATTTTCACATTAATGTTGAAAGCATAATGACGGTAATGTTTGAAAAGCTTATTTTTGTTCTTACTTTTTTATTGTTTGATCCTCTTTGTTTTTGAAGCTGGAATCAAGGATATTGACAGGTATCATGAGAAGCTTGCCGTATCTCTGTACAGCTCATCTCTTCCACCCCAGATGTCTGGCATTAAACTAGGTGTGATTACTTCTGAAGAGCTACCTTTGTACTACAGGTATTTATCTTTTATATACTCCTAACAAAGTAGAGCTATAATGTTTTTATTGTAAAGTGGGTTTTCATTTTCATAACCTTTAGATTACTTTAGGCTTGGTGTACAAAAATGATATTAGTATTTAAAGCTCACATAGTAACGTCTTCCTTTAGTAGAAGCAGATGTGCTAATTATTGTACTCATGTGTTTGTGTTTCTGATTTTCCCCTGCTAAGGAGGAGTGTTGAACTAAATAGTAATTCTTTGGAGTCCTATGAAAATATCATGCAGAGTTCTCTGGGATTTGTTAATCCAGGAGTAGTTGAATTCCTTCTGGAGAAACTAGGAATAGATGAATCTCATCCACCATCTTTAATGAGAGGCCTACAAAGGTAAAAGTAGATCTGGATTCTCTTGAAGTGGGCAGGGGAATGGATTAGCTCAAAAACTGAGTAGCTGAAGAACAGGAATATGGCAAAGGTTGAATGAAGTGCGCAATCGTATTTGCTCCTGGTCTGAACTAAGCATTGATAGGGATGTGCCATCTGACCAAGTAGAAAAGGGTATAGAAACTTTGTGCATATGCTTAGGAAAAATACTATTTGACAGTAATATCCATACCTGACAATTACAACGATTTTACTGTACAAATGGAATACAAATTTCCTGCATGACATTTCACTGTTGAGTACCTACCAGAGATAGAATGAACTATACTTACATTTTTTGACTCTCATTTTCTTTCACAGCAAAAATTTCTCCGAAGATGATTTTGCTTTGGCTTTAAGAAAGAAGCAGTCAGCATCTTGGGCTTTAAAATGGTATGAGGTTGTTTTGTCTAACAGGGGCGGTTATCCAGCATGAAAGTTTTAGTTAGGCATGCATTCTTCCATCATCACTAAGACTAGAATGTGTTTACAAATGAATGAAAACTTCTTTGACTTTATCTGTATTATATTAGACGTAACATTGGAATCTTAACAGACTTAAGTTTTATTTAGAATTGTTTTCAGAAAGAATTAGTGTCCTTTTTTTTTTTTTTTTTTTTTTGGTTTTTCGAGACAGGGTTTCTCTGTGGCTTTGGAGGCTGTCCTGGAACTAGCTCTTGTAGACCAGGCTGGTCTCGAACTCACAGAGATCCGCCTGCCTCTGCCTCCCAAGTGCTGGGATTAAAGGCGTGTGCCACCAACGCCCAGCTGAATTAGTGTCTTGATATCTGAATTTTCATAAATGTTTGCTATGACAATCCAAGTATATTAAGAGTAATTTGAAAACTAAGTATTTATCCAGCTTTAAAGGTATTTTCTTTTAATAGTCATGCGTACTAACATTTTATTTGTAGATGCTCTGGGAAGTATCCCTGACATCTTATAAATGTGTTTTCAGTGTGAAGATTGGGGTCGATTACTTCAAGGTGGGGCGACATGTGGATGCTATGAATGAGTACAATAAAGCTCTGGAGATAGACAAGCAGAATGTGGAAGCTCTGGTGGCTCGTGGAGCATTGTAAGTGAATTGGGGATTTTAAGGAATATTTTTAAGAATGAAAAATGTCTTTAAGTAGGTCACAAGATTAAATTGCTCTAATTTTGTTTAATGTCTCTAGATATGCAACAAAAGGAAGTCTGAACAAAGCAATAGAAGATTTTGAGCTGGCATTAGAAAACTGCCCAACTCACAGGAATGCAAGAAAATATCTCTGCCAGACCCTCGTAGAAAGGGGAGGGCAGTACGTATGGGGTTTCATTTAATAGTAAAAGTCTGATTGCAACCAACTCCCATAATGCCCTGAGATGTATACCACAAAGCAGCTTCTTACTATATAATTCAAAGTACTCTTTGCTTCAGTTTTGTGTGGCAGGTGGCCTCTTGGTCCCTTTTTTCCGCCTTATTACTGAGGGTGTGTATGTGTGTGTGTGTGTATACGTACGTACTTTAGTACCTCGGGTTAATTGCTCTGAATGTATATTTTTGCTACACAGAAGTGTAAATTGAAAAGTATTAGATAATTGTTCTATTCCAGAGTGTATACCAGAAGGTTTTGCTCTAATTAAGGATTTAATTTTTTAATCATTTTATTAATTACGTGATTTCTAGTAAATTGTGATTAGATTCTGCTGTTATAATCAGATTATAGCACTGCTCTGTCTGGTAAACCCTGCAAATTCAGATTAAATGGTGGAGTTAGAAGTATTTGGCAGTGTTGCCACTCAACTTGCTGGCCTGAACCAGGGAGAGTAGAGCCTAAAAAACGAGGCATGCTAAAGTCTCATGCAATAGCCAGCTTTATTTGGAGCATCAGACAGGGGTAAGCAGGGTTGTGTGAGTAGGGTGTGTACAGTCACAAGGGCAACCCATGTGTAAAAACATTTTTCACTAAAAAAATTAAGAAGCAATGTGAAATCTGAAGTAAACCCACTACTATGTACTACTTCTGGGAAGGGCATGAAAGCATATGCCAGTAACAAATCCTTGTTACAGAGGAACAGAGGTAATAAGACTCTTGTCTTGTTTACTTGGAGTTGTCTCACAAACACTCAGAAGTCTCACACAGCTTCATTTATGGACTGTGTTCCAGCAAGCAGTAGTCAGCTTTAATAACTAAAAAGTATAAGGCATAGAATGCTATAATATCAGTGCTTTCTGCACTACTGGGCATGGAACCCAGGGTATCTCAAATGTGCCAGGCAAGTGCTATAACAATGAACTACATCTCTCGTCCTCTCTGCCATTAGTGAAGAAAGGTTCATCTCTTCTATATCATAAATCTTCTGCCTGGCCGTTCTTGCTTGGATGAGCATTCCATCCAAGTATCTGTAGAATAAGAATGCCCACAAATTCTAAATTAATGAGATTTCAGTTAGTGACTGGAGAACCTTTTTTGTTGTTACGAAGTAACTTTTTTACTAGTACCACTGAAAAGAGGTTGTCTTATTCCTGGTATTGGTATCTTTGAGCTGAGTGAATGGCTACATTAACCAATTATCCAAGCCACAAGTATTAGTCATGATTTTACTTGTCCTTCAGCTACTAACATCTAGTCTACTGACATAAAAATAATCCCATTTGTTTTGCAGTAAAGATTTTTTTCCTTCTGTTCCCTAGAAATATTTTGTAAATTCCTATCACTACAATATATCCAAACTTCCTTTTTCTGCTTAGCCCTGGCTGACCTGGAACTTACTTAATTGACCAGATTAGCCTCAAACTCATAGTAACTTTCCCCTCAAACTCATAGTAACTTGCCTCACAAGTGCTGGGATAACACCCACCCAAACATTCTAATTGTGATTTTTCACAGCGTAGACTTGTAGATTATATGATAACAATGATTGTAGGTTATAGTGATGTCTACAACCCTGTGTGTATGCTATTTCCAAAGAATTCTAATGGATTGCCAATGAAAATTTCTCCATAGAAGGAAAACTTCATAACTACTTTTAAAAAGCCATCTTATGTAAGTTGTTTTTACTAAGCAAGCACATGAATGAATAATTAGAAAATAATTGGCTAAAGATACTTTCCTCTGATGGCTTATATGTATACTTGGATAAATTTGCTTTTACAAATGTTGAATCTTCTTAATAGGTTAGAAGAAGAAGAAAAGTTTTTAAATGCTGAAAGTTACTATAAGAAAGCTCTGACTTTGGATGAGACATTTAAAGATGCAGAGGATGCTTTGCAGAAACTTCATAAACATATGCAGGTGATTCTTTATTTCCTCTTTGAAATTTAATGGCATTTAAAATTAATGCCAAAATGTCATTTTCTTTTCAGAAAAACTAGGTTACCTAGATGAACTATTAGGAAAATGAATAGCTTTTCCTAATTAGGTTTGACATTGCATTGCTTGTACTCAAAAGTAAAAATACCCTGTAAGAATGCCTAAATTCAGTGTGTGATTTTGATTGTTCCCCTTTGTAGAGAGCTTACCTGGTGATTATAAGATTATGAGTATTGCTAGTATAATTGAGCTAATTGTGCAAACCTTTGTAGACTTTTTTTTTTACTTGTCCTTTCCTGTAATACTGATGATGATGTTTTCTCATGCATTTTCTTCTGAATTGGACCATTGCTGCTGTGTCTGTGACATCTGGTGCTGCTCATCCCCATCCACAAACTGGAAAATGATTTCTTATGTAATCATGCATCCAACTGGGCTGTGCTATTTTTAAAATGGTTTGTATTTGAACATGGTGATTTTTTCCCTTCATTCACCTCTGTGGAATGTCCTTATTTGAATTTTATTTGTAAAATTTGTGTCCTGTTTAAAATTTCAATTTTTAAAAATAATTTTTCATCTTTTTTATCTTACCTGCATTCTGGGTCATTGGTACTACTGCAATGGCTTCCCTGTTTTTCTTGGGATACCAACTGCAATATGGTCCTCAATACTGTTCTGGCCATTCAAATGATTAATGCCAAACGTGTGTCATTAATTTTTTTATTTGGAAAAAAATAACTTGTTTAATACTGGCTATATGGTGATTTGATTATACTAAATTGGGCTTCTGGTTGGGGGGGTGGTCTTTTAAATACTGTTTGTGCATATTCTGCTATTTTTATTTTTAACGTGTGGTTTTTTCCGATATCTGGGTTCTAAAAGAAATCTTTGGAATTAAGAGAAAAACAAGCTGAAAAGGAAGAAAAGCAGAAAACAAAGAAAATAGAAACAAGTGCAGAAAAGTTGCGTAAGCTCTTAAAAGAGGAGAAAAGGTAAACTATAATATTCAGTATTTTTTAAACTTAAAAGCAACTACTGAGTTGAAACCAAAGTGCCATATGGAGGTAAAGTAAGTAATTTTAAAAAAAGTTTCCCAAGTGATAATTCTTAGCAAGCATATGTTCCATGTGTTTGTCTGTAAAAGAAATTAAGCAGAGTCTAAACTTAGAATTCTTTTTAAAAATTAGGATTAAAATATAGAATAAGTAATTTAACTGTTTCTGGGGGATAGGCTTTTAGAAGAGGAGCTGTGATTTCTTAGATACTGGTGGTTTGTTATGATGTAAGTTTGGAAGAATAGTGGCATCTAGTATGTAGAGAACATAGGCCTACTTAAACATCCTACAGTGTACAGGACAGTCGGCTCCTACCTTCAGTAAAGATCCATTTGGTCCTAAAACGTCAGTGGTGCTGTGGGGGATATGTGAAGAAACTGGAGGTCCTGGATAGAGAAATCAGTTGCCTCTTGCATGTCCAGCAAGATAAGTAATCTTAAAAGTCACTGGTCTTTCAGAAGTAGTGGGTTTGCCTGCAGTGACACCTGTCTCCATAGGCGCTCTCAAAAGTCATGCTCCATGGTAAAAGGTAATTGAGTATTGTTATTATGCAGTATTGAGATTGTTATTATGTCTCAGTGACAGCTTGTAGAACATCTTCAAGTGATACAAAATAAGATCAAATCTTGAGGGATATTTGACTAGCATTTTTGTAATTCCCATGGCTGATGAGCTAACTATTGTTTTTAAGGCTGAAGAAGAAAAGAAGAAAATCGTCATCATCCTCTTCAAGTGTTTCTTCTGCTGATGAATCCGTTTCATCTTCCTCATCCTCTTCCTCTTCTAGTCATAAACGTCATAAGAAAAGTAAGAGGAATCGTTCAGAGTCTTCTCGCAGTTCAAAGAGGCACTGGTCTAAGACATCTTCAAGTCACATAGATCAGAATAGGAAAGATGATTGCTACCCAGTTCCAACTAATACTTCAGCATCTTTCCTTAATCAAAAACAAGAAGTGGAGAAACTGTTGGAAAAGCAGGATAGGTTACAGTGTCCAAGCACACAGGTGAAAGAGAAAGAGAGATGCCTTCTCACATCTTCAGCTGAAGTGCCAGATGACTTGGGAGGTAGGTCTGAAGACACAAGAGATTTTTACAATAGCTCTAAAACCCAGACAGGTAGTAGCAAAACCGAAAAGCCATATAAATCAGAAAGATATTTCTCCAGTAGGAGAAATTCCTTGGATTCCTTCTGTAGAAATTCAGAAGACAAGATGAAAGCATCTAGTTCTAGGAGATTTGAAAAGGACACGGAGGGAAGAAAAGATCACTCTAGAAGGTGGGAGCCAGGTTCTGTGAAGTATTCTACTTCACCAGCAAGTTCGGACTACTCTTGGAAGTCACTTGAAAAACACAAAAAATACACTTCCTCTGGATCACGTGACAGTAGGCCTGAGCAAAGGTACCCGTTAAATACAAGTCAGGGAGAGCACGCATATGAAAAGGAGGACAGCTCTGGGGAGGGTAACAAGACCGAGGCTCCAGAAGAGACACCGAATAGCAAAGAGCAACCAGAAAACAGAGTTAAGAAAAATATACCTCAAAATTTACTCAATATATTTAATCAGATAGCTGAATTTGAGAAAGAAAAGGGAAATAAGCCAAAAAAATGATCTGCTTAGGAAATCCTCACTGAATTTCAGAAGTTTGGGGATGCTTTAGTCTCAACAAGCGGTTCTGGGTCTAACGTAGTTTATAGCAGATTACAAGACATTTCTCAGATTTGTTTCAGCTATCAGCCCTTTTGTCATAGTCAGTGCTTTGAGTATGTGGGTATTTGCAGATGTAGCTCTTACCTGACAATTGAAACTCTTCACCTAAAGGTATTTTCAGAGGGCTTTGTTTCTTCATTGTACAATGGCTTGTGAGAATCCTGGGCCTATCATATTTCACTGTTGGAGAGCAATATGTTTGCGTTGAACAGTTGGATTGTTTTATCAGAAAAATACTTTATTCTCTTGTTAAAAAGCCCTTAGCTTGGGTGGGGGGATATTATATAATTGAATGTTTCTTAGGTACTATTTTAAGTCATTTGTTTTAGGCATTAAAACTTTTGCAACATTTCATTTTTAAGTGATAAATTATGATTTGATTTACCTCTAACGCCTGATATAAATGGTTTGCAAACATTGTTTTCTTCCCAGCTTAACAAATACCTTAAGAATAAGACCATGAAAGTTGGTTAATCAGAGCCTGTTTTACTTATGCCTCCATTATTATATTTACTTAGTGGTTATGTTCATAAGAAAAATTTTAACTTTAAATACTGACAAAACCGGTAGGGAATTACAGACAAGACTATATGAGAACAGAAAATAACTTAGTGAAAATAGCAACAGAGAGGCACCCTGTAAATCTGATTTTTCTTCTGTCTTAATATTGCACGTGCTTGGGAAGTCAGTAGGCATGTTTCTGAACAGCGGAGGACTGGCTTACAATTTACTCTTCTGCTGCTCTGTTACCTTCTCTTTTTTATTGAGATGCCTTTCTCTGAATCGTGGTGAATGACAGAATCAATTCCAGGCCTCTGAGATGGCTTAGTGGGTAAAAGACTACCCAAGCTGATGACGTGAGTACAGTCCCCAAACGCCAAGGCCTAGGGAGAGAACTGACTCCAAAGGCCTGTCCTCTGACAGCCACACACAAACATAGTAGCTACCTATACACACAAACAACTAACAAAGGAATCATCTTGGACTTTCAGAGAACCTCTCTGAAAATTAAATAGTAGACTCTTGGAGATATTAGTAGGTATCGTAGCTTTTGCACTTATGCTCTTCAATTAGGATTCTAGAAAGTGCAAATGGCACTGAGCATTTAATCTCCTGGTCATTAGACGGGATCTACTGCAGACATGCATGAGAGAGATGAGGGAGTAGTAGAAAAAGACTCATTGCATGTTTATACAGATAAAATACTAAAACTTTAGTAATGATATGTACTATCTGCACCAAATTATAGTGGTGGGAAACTACTGTACAAACAGTACAATAGGAAAAAGAAGCCTTGATTAAGAACAACTAATAATAGCCAGGCATTGGTGGAGCATACCTTTAATCTCAGTACTCCAGGAGGCAGAGGCAAGCAGATCTCTGTGAGTTCGAGACCAGCCTGGTCTACAGAGTGAGTTCCAGGACAACCTCCAAAACAATACAGAAAAACCCTGTCTGGAAAAACCAAGAAAAAAAAGAACAACTAATAATAACAGCAGAAATTAGATCATCACTTCAATATTAGTTTCTGTACCAAGGAAGTCATTATTATTACTATTATTATTGTGAACATGTGTGCCACATATGTAGAGATTGGAGGACAACTTGAGGGAGTCAATTCTCTTCTATCTTATGGGTTCCAGGAGTGAAACTTGCTTTTATGTTACTTCAATAAACCTGTGATACATTTAATCATCCCTGTATTACAATAAGAAAAAGTGTAGGAAAGCAAACCTCTTAGTAAGAAACAAAACTCTTGCCTTCGTAGAATAAAAAGTTTAATGTTTTAAGTTCCAGGTAACTTACAAACTTACATGACCAAGAGTCACAACATTGTTAAACATAATGATGATAGGATTAATCAGTTTTGTATCTTAAACATCATGCATTTTGGCAGAATTTCAACTAAAAAGTATGCACAATTTTCTTTGCCATTTTAGTTATTAGACTTAACTATGCCTTCCCATTTCTGAATTAAAAATGATTATCATTAGAAACAGATTTACTACCACTACTGCCTTTTCAGAAGTAACTGAGGAGTGGTTCTAAGACAATCACTGTTGAAATGAATATTTTTCCCAAGGTTTAAAGTCAATGCTCCTTTATCTACCTGAATGCTAATGTGTTTAAAATCTAGCTTTATAGTAGCATTTCACACTCTAGTCCAAAAAGTTCAAAGTGCTGCAAATGTAGTATTAGCTGAAAAAACTGATTTTAAATATGCAATATCAACCTCCATTTTAAATTTAGTATGTTCATTTATTTTCAAGGTCAGGGTAGAGACATTCTTAGCAATGCAAGTTGTACTTTATGAAAATATATAGATATAAGTGTGTATATACACATACATTGTTTTTCTAACTGAGGGAGTGGTAATGATGGTATTTTTTCGTTACAAATTATAACCAAAAAAAAAAAAAAAGACCTTTAACAGGTGTGTGTTACCCCCGTGGGAAAAAAATTGGGGGAATATGGTTGTTGTTTTGTTTTTGTTTTTAATTTTAAAAAGTGGTGATTTAGAGTAAATGAAAATATTGAGGTGTGCAATGAATCTTTTAGAAAGTATTCCTGAAAAAAATCTTATTTCATAAGTGTTATTTCATAAAGCATCTAAACTACAGACATCAGTGTTCCCTTAAAAAAAAAAAAGCTGATTTCCCTCTGCTTTATTACATGTGGTCTGGCTAAAGTTCTGCAGTTTCCTTCTCTGTGAATAAAACAGGAGGAAAACAAAACAAGAAAAATCTTCGTTCTTTTCTCAAACAGTTTTTGTAGCCACTGTGCAGAACTTTTGTCTGGTCTGCAGTACTTCAATGCTATTTTAGTAGGCATATATCATTAATAAATGGGACCCCAGAAAAAGGAAGACTTAACCTTAAGTTAATGAGATTTTCACCTGTGTTCAAAATTTATACAAGAGATTAAAAGTTTTTATTTGCTGGGCTTTTTTCCTTTAGGAGTACTTGAATTACTGTCATTACTGTCTGACTTAGAACTTTTGCTTCCTGCCGGAGACCCTGGGAAGCTGATCTGTAATACTTTCACTGAAATTGGAGGAGAAACAGGAGAACTTGGGCCCTCGAGTGACCTAGAACAAAAAAAAAGATTTACTATAAATTTAATACAAAATGTACTTAAAATAGACCTTATTGGCAAAAAAAAAAGTCGTAATTCCATAAGTAAAGAACTAGAAAATCCCTTAGTGTTTATTAAATTTAAACATATGACCCAATTCTTTCAAAAGAAGAAATGAACACAGTTTAATAGTTGAATACTTGTTTCTGTGAGCACATTATTTTCAACTGTAACCAGTTAGTTTGTAAAATGAGAAGAGAGGAGCAGGTACTTCGAACAGTCATCACAATGTTAGTCTTAAGTCATGTAGCTGAAGAGAAATATGGAGTGTGTTGGTAGGAAAAATGTTAGTCTTAAGTCATGTAGCTGAAGAGAAATATGGAGTGTGTTGGTAGGAAAAGTGGTGAGATCGTTTGGAAGACAGCCATTCAGTCCTAAGATAAAATGTTTTTTAAAAAGTACAGAAAATTTTAATATGTAATAGTAAAGATATTGAGTGGCTTAAAATATTTATGTAGAAGCATAAATATTTTTTTAAACTTAAAACACTGTCTTTGAGGATCCATTTTTCATTTTTAATGAAAGTTTTACAGACTAATAAAAACTAGAAAATAGCTGTCAACAGTAGGAGATTAGAAATCGTAAAATTAGCTTCATCATTAATAAACCTGTCAACAAAGATCTAGTACCCATGACTTATCCCTACTGACAGATTTCTGGATTGCATTAAGCTCAGTAAGACACCATAAATAAAAACTGGTTACATAGAATTTCACAGGAGCAGCTGTAATTACAAAACTTTGTACCTTTTACAGTTTAAAAAGAGTTAAAGTTTCCTAGAGTTGGAGTTCGCTCAAAATGTTAGCTATATCACCTCAATTTTCACCCAACCTTGTTCCCCTAAAATAGCTTGCTAGTTACAAGGAATGTGCCTGCAAAGTTGACAGGAGTGTTACCATAAAGTGAGGTTGCTAATGTGAGGAGAATGGGTAGCATGCTGGGCAGTAACAGCTGTGAGACTTGACGCCACCTTAGTAGCCTTGCCCTTACCTGATTGACAACAGTGAAGACTGTGAGGAGGTTCTGGAGCTCCGGCCTTTAACTGTAGGCAGTTCTAACCCATTCTGGAAGAATATTGTAATTATTAGTTCTGCCACATTTTAGAAGAAAACTAATTAGATACACAGACAAACTATATTATACTCTATTACCTGCTCAAAATACGTTTGAAGAATGACGTGGACTTCAGCGTTTTCCATGGCACTAACTAACATTTGGTCAATTTCCCTATGAAACTCTTTAATCTCACGGAGTTCAATGTCTTGTTCTTCTAGTGTTTCTTCATTTGTTTCATTCAAAATGCGGATTTCTCTTCTGAGTCTTCCACACTGTCAATAATAACAGTCAACTATTACATACACCTCCTTTCCACCAAGTTCAGGGAAGAGGGGTTGAGTGCATTTGGTACATGAAAAAGTGAATGCTAGGGCCAGCGCTAAGAAATGTCAGCACCTGCTTAGTCACGCGCTCTAATTTCGGCTGCTGCTCCTCAGTCTCTTTGCGGAGTTGAAGTGAGTAAGTTTGTTTCTCTGATAATTTCTCTTTGACATTATTTGCTAAGTGTTCTATAACTTCAAAAGTATTTTCCATGCTCTGTAGAAAATAAAATATCAACATATTTATGGTCAGAATAAAAACATGACTTTTTTGCCAATTACCAGCTGTTTCTTCAATTTAATTACTTTTGTTTGTTTATATATGTACTATGTTTACTGTATTAATGGATAAGTATAGTGATGCTGTGAGTTAGTTTTGAATATAATTCCACTGGGAACTTTATTTGGCATTTGAAAAAAAAAACAGTTGCTTAAAATTACCCAGCTTTCAAAGATTGACAACACGTGTCACCTGTTCCCTTAGTGTTAAGGTCTACTTAACAAAGCACATTCTTCTGTCTCTCAGGTTTGCTCTAGTACCTACTTCCACTAGACTTTTTGTCTAAACTTTATGTCTAAAATCTTAAGGTGCAGCCGGGCGTTGGTACCGGCACATGCCTTTAATCCCAGCACTCGGGAGGTAAAAACAGGCAGATATCTCTGAGTTCGAGGCTAGCCTGGTCTACAGAGCGAGTTCCAGGAAGCCCCCAAAACAATACAGAGAAACCCTGTCTCAAAAAACTAAAATAAATAAATAAATAAGGTGCTCTTTAAGGATTTCAGTGAGGGTTACTAAGTAATGGTTAGTGGATAAGTCATAATTGTCTAGCTATGGTTGATAACTAATAAAGTTATTGGCACCCAGCAATAGGATTTTAACTGTTTTACTCAATGTTTCCTTCACTTGTTTCTCTCTAAATGAGGTTTATGTTTTTTGTGGTCTGTTTCCCTAAAGATGCTCTTCATACATTAAGTAGTGATAACGGTAGTTGACCTTTACTTAGGGCTAATTACTACGAAACCTATAGAATTCACCTGGATGTCTTCTTGAAGTTCTCTGATTTGCCTTTGTTTGTATCTGTATTTCTCATCTGCAGACCTCTTTTGTTCTTCTAGTTGAATTTTTATTCCATACTCATCACCTACAAGAGAATTTTAATTTCCAATATAATACGTAGAAAACCACTTTAAAGTAACAAAATAAACCATTAACTGTTTTTTGTTATAAAAGGTTATGTGTCTTAGATACATGTGAAAAACACAGTATAGACATGTAGTAGACAGTTTTTATTTACTGGGCATATAGCAGCAATATATTTTTCAAATTCAAAACTAATTCCTAAAGAAGAGATATGCCATATACCAATAAACCGATCAGGGAGGTGCATAATTGACTTTTTTTAGGTTCAATCATGACACATTATTATTCTCCATTAATCATAATGGTTCTCCTGTATATTCATTTAACTGTAGTCTTCATCACATTTGTTGTGATGACTGCTACCTACTTGATGGAGTCACTTTTTTGAAAGATTGCTTATAATTGTTGTTGCAGCTGTTCAGTACTTGCAAGGTATTTTGCAGAGCATAGATTTCTTTTTCAGCTTTGTTGATCTTAGCATCCAAGCTGTCACCTTCCCTTTGAAGTTCTTCCTTTTCTTGAGCAGCCTATAAAATACAGAACAGTGCTGAAGTTATTTAGCTTCGGTGTTGCATTGAAGCAGAGAACAGTTAATTCACAGCAATTGCTACTTATCATAGGGCCTGCATATGCTTACCTTGCATTTACTTCTTGCACTCAGCTTCAAACACAAGACCAAATTCTTAGTCATCAAGATACAGCATATATAGGGATACAAACCCATGGTGGAAATGTAGCCACTGCTTACATAAAACACCAGGAAGAAGGGTGGGAGGTAGGGAATAGCTAAGCAGCTACCAGATCTCTAGGAACATAAGTGGGGTGACTCAACAAAGGTTGAAGCTAAAGTAAATCAGAAGAATATTTTGCTCAGAGAGATTTGGGGACTAGATTCTTACTTGATTCAGATAACAGTGACCAGAGTATATCCAGGAAAACAATGTGGGTATATTTTCTAGTATATTTTATTACAGTATAAAAGATAACTTTGGAGCTTGAGAGATGGCTCAGCCGTTAAGAGCACTTGCTGCTTTTCCAGAGACCCAAGTCTGGTTCCCAATACTCATGTAGGACAGCCCACAACCACCTGTAACTCCAGTTCAAAGAGATCTGACATCTCTGGCCTCCAGGTACCTGCACTCACATGTAGAGAGACACACACCTTCACATAAAGAAAAACATTGTTTTTTGATTTTTGAAGATAACTACAAATGATGATAGTACTTAAAATAAATGTAGCTAGGAAACAAATGCTGTAAATTGCTTTTAAAATCCTAATTTCTTACGTGGTATACTTTTACAAAACTAACTCTCTTCTCTGATGGACTCCCTTAAAATTCTCTACAATTCTAAAGACTGGGGTTGACAGAATAGCATCATTATATATTAAAGGCTGCTTGCTATAAAGCCCCCCTTTTTTAGTCAAAATTTTAGTCAGTCGTTAAACATGTTTTAAATCAAGTCGATGAGAAAGCTGTTGTCACCCAACATTTTTTCATTATTATGTGTATATGTCTGCATATAACGCATGTTCCTGAGGTTAGGAGTGTCCCACAAATTGGAGTTACAAGCAGTTGTAAGCTGCCAGATGTAGGAATTAAACTCTAGTCCTTAACAAGAATAATACATGATCTTAACCACTGAGCCATTTCTCCAGCTCCCAATCGTTACATTTTGATTCCATTTTTATTATGTTTAAAAACATGAGGTACACTTATTTTTGTAACAAATATTGCTTGTCACCTGTCATTGTGGCAAAATACTTGGCATAAAAAAACGTAAACCTGTATTTTTGCTCAGTATCAAAGACTTCTATCCCTTTATTTTGTCCTGTTTCTGGGCTGTGGTAAAACAGGACTTGGGGTGGGGGGTGTTTAAGCCCTAGCTGCTCACTTCCTGCTAGCCAGAAAGCAAAGGAGCAAAAGAAACCTTCCAAGGCATGCCTCCAGTAGCCTGCTTCCTCCGCCTGGGCCCTGCTACCTCCCAGTAATTCCACTAACGAGGTTAGTATCCTCAGGAGCCACTTAGTTCCCAAAAATCTACCAACTAGCAACCGAACCTTTCTCACAGCTACATAAGAAACCTACAAAGTTGATACATGAGATGTGATTACCCCTAATTTAACCCGTGTACATGTATGGAAACATCAAGCTAGCCTAGGAATGCATGTAATTTGTATGTGTCGAGTATGGCCAAAACAAAACGGTAAAAGATTCATTGCTGTTTCAATTGAATAAAATAGTGTGGCAAGAGAACGCTGGGATGAGAGACATTGTATGTGACAGTTGAACTTTAATGACATCCCTTCTTTAAACTCAGTTCATTCTAATTCCTGACTTCATTCTAGGTGTGCCTTTATATCCTAAAATGCTTGTTCCCTCTATTGGTTGATTGGTGGGAGGGGGGAGAGAGAGAAAAACAATTTTTTACTTGGGGTTAGAAAGTTGGTATTTTGAAGCATAGCTTCTTAGTATCACAGTTTTTAAAAAATACCTTCATTGGATAATATCACTCAAATTTGATCAGAATGAGTCTGCTGGCTTGTAAATACTGAGGATCTTGGGAATAAAATATGAAGGATGCTAGCTAGCTCTTTGCTATGTTTTCCAGTTTTGCTTTTAAGCAGAAATAGACATGAAAGTTGAAAACCTGGTATACCCCACACATAGGCCAAAGGCTACTGCAGGACCAATACCAGGAGCTACTGTGGCCATGAAAGAGATGTACTGTTGTCCCAACACCTAGTAACTTAGTGTGACCTCATTGAGAGGTCAGGCCTTTGCAGATGTCAAGATGAGGTCCCTATGATGGGCCTCAGTCCAACAGAACCCCCAAAACAATATACTACTTTTCTCCACTTCTGGCCATGAGTAATTTCTGATAAAAGCTATACTAACTTTATTTACAGAGAAATCATTGCATATGTGAGATGTGAAGTGTGAATGTGTGTGTTTCACTCAGTCATAAATGCACATCAGGTAAATGTTACCTTTATTACATAATAGGCCTGTGTTTTCTCCTCTTCTCCTTCAGGGGGCAGCATAACAACAGTAAGAATCTCGTATCTGTTCTTAAGCTTGTCAATTTTACTTAGTCGCTCATGAAACTCAGCACTAAAATGAAAAGAAAATTTTAAATTAGTGTTTTTACTGAAAAGCTTTGAACTTGTATTACTACTATACTGCACTCAAGCAGGTTAAAGTGCTTCTGTTTTAATAATTCAGTGTGAAGGTCTCCAATGTTACTTGTAACAAAGACGAAGGCTGTTTTCATTCGTGACTCAGGAGAAGGTATGCACTTCAGTGTAAATGGCTTCCACGTCTCATGAAGGCAAAAAGGGGCTCAGGCAGATACTACACAAACAGGTTTGTGTTACAGTTCAGGAACCTTAGATATTTTCAAGTGGGAAATAAGCAAACACCTAATTTTGCTCTAGAGGGAAACTGACCTCTTCATTTGCTATTCAGACAGGGTTAGTACCTCTCTTACAGGGCATAAAAATGAAATTAAATAGTTCATGGCATCAACATTGGTGTCAGATTTTTAAATGTTACTGTTTCCTTTTGCTTCAGTAAACCTTTATGAGCTGTTTGCTGGAGTTATAATATAGTAATGGTAATGTCTGCATGGTAGGATGGAGACTGACTCACTCCTTGCTATAACCTAACATTCATTCTTGTGTGATCATAACGTACTTTCTCATCAGCCAAACTGAGCAGAAAAGTTCATCTTCCCAACTTTCCTTTCTTTTCTTTTTTGTTTGTTTGTTTGTTTGGTTTGTTGTTGTTGTTGTTTTTGGAGATAGGGTTTCTCTGTGGCTTTGGGAGCTGTCCTGGAACTAGCTCTTGTAGACCAGGCTGGTCTTGAACTCACAGAGATCCGCCTGACTCTGGCTCCCAAGTGCTGGGATTAAAGGTGTACCCCACCACCACCCAGCCCAACTTTGTAAAGAAGAAAAAAGCCAGGGATGGTGGCAAACAGTCCTGGTTCTTGGACAGCTGATACAGGACTGAGGCCAAGCTATGTATGAATACCAGTCTCAATAAGATAAATTTTTTAAAGGAAGGAAAGAAGCAGGAAAGACAGAAAACAAAGGATTTGGAGGGAATCTTTTTATGAATTCATGAAAGAATGGATGGC